AAACACATCACACTTGTCCTCATGACCTCCTCCTCCTCCTCATTCCACACACGAGGCTCCCAGCTGGGGCCAGCAGGGAGGCAGTCCCTATGTTCGGGCAGGCCCAGGAGCCCTGGCCCTGGCCCTCCCTTTGACCCAGTCACCCCACCCCAACCCCACCTTCCCCCGCTCCCCGGGGTCTCTGGAACCCGTCCACAGACCTGTCTGGTGAGCAGAATGGCCGTGTCGAAGTGTCCTGGGTTCCGGTCGCTGTGATAGTTGAAATGCTGCTGCCAGTTGCAGAAGCTGCGCAGGGTAAGCCCACCGTTGTCAGACACCCTGGGGCCCTGCGCCTCATCTTCCACGATCAGCACCTTCACCACCACCAGGTGGATGGAGTTGCGAATGCTGGGGTGCTTGTAGATGCGGGCCGCCACCGACATGAGTGTCAGGATGTGGTTCTGTCGGGAAGTGGGGAATAGGAAGAGTGAAGGGTTCCATCTCCCAGCCCGTCGCCTGCCCACGGCCATCACCTCTTGTTCCCCACCCCGTGTACCCCGCTCTGGGCCGAGTGCCCGATAAATAGCATCTTGTTGAAAACTCACAGCCTCCAGAACCTTCATTTCACATAAAAGCCAGTTGCCTCCCAAGATCACAAATCTACGGGGAGCACGGCCAGCATGTGAGCTCAGACTGCCTGGCTCCGAAGCCCGTGCATGTAACATCTTGACCAGACACATGTGGCCATGGAAATCAAAGTCCATTAAAAGCCAGCGAAACTGAAATCACTGCTCCCCCGTCGCACTGGCCACGTTTCAAGTCTGCTGATAGCCATCTATGGCTTGTGGCCACTGTATTGGACTGAGCAGACAGAACGTTCCACCGTCACGGAAAGTTCTAAGGGACCAAGATGGTTATTCAGCCTTGACCTTGACCCTGGCCGTCTCCCCGCCATGCCCCTCTCCCCCCCTCTTCTCCATTCTCAGCCCAGAAGCAGTGATCTGAGTGCTCCAGGTGAGTAGACTTTCCCTCTGAGCATCCAGCATTCTCCTGATGTCTGCGGGGCAAGCCTACTCTGCAGGATGAAATGTTAACCCTGAAAACTTGGCTCTGGTTGTCACGGCAAACAATAGCTACCCAGCTCCCGGAGCGGGACCCACACTTCACCAATGTCACCTCTTTCCACGCTCACAATAACCCTGTGAAGGCGGTATCACAGTCCCTACGTCTAAGGCCACACGGCTCGTCAAGCCAGATGCGGCCCAGGCCTGTCCGTCTCTGGGGCCCACAATCTTCTCATTAAGTGTCCCAGTGCTCGGCCTCCGGGCATTTGCCTGGTCAGCCCTGAAGGGCTTATTCCCTTCTGCCTGGGGCTTGAGCGAACCCTGTGGGTCTAATGAGGCCCAGATGCGGAGGCTCACACCTGCTTCCAGTCCCACCCAGGTCAGCTGAGACAGCCCACGTCATCGCTGGGCCTCTGTCCTGTCCCTGGGCTGCCAGCTGCTCCCACGCCTTTGGAGGAGCCCAGGCTGGAGCTCATGCTCCTGCCTCTAAGAGCGCGTTCTCCTGGGTTAGTTTGCAGAAGAGGAGACAAAGGGGCAGAGGCAAGAGTGCCTTCAGCCGAGAGTGTGGCCAGCTGAGCAGCCAACTTGCTGGCCCCGCTCTCTGTTCTCTGGGGGCACCGTCTCTAGGAGCCTCTCCTTTTCTCTCCGGTGATCTGGAAGGTGGGAGTGGAAGGAGGGGAAGGGAGAGTGAAAGGCTAGAGAGGGACGTTCCGCCGTCCGGGGCCATGTGTGGGAGATCCAGACGAATCGCCTCATTTGTGAATGGGATCTGTCTGTTCACCTCGCAGGCGACAAGCCAGGCATTTTGTAAGCCCTACAGACAGAGGTTGGCAGGTTGCTGAGGGTGTCAAGTACTCCGGCTATGTTTAGGCTGATGTAAACATCTTATCAGCAAAGCTGAAACTTGGCGCTCTCGCTCTTGGAGTTGGATTCCTAAGGGAAAAAAGCAATCACATCATTATGCAACCAGGGGTGAGGGCTGAGGAATGGTAGCTTGCTGAGGCCA